AAATATCTGTTTTGTGATGTGGGATCTCGGTTCGTACATCAACTGAAAAGCAATTGTTTCGGTCCATTCGGTTCCAGTTGGTTTATTGTTTGTGTTAGTAAGCTCATTTGTGTTTCTGATTTAAAGTTCAGTTGTTCTGTTTATTTATGATGTGCACCTTATATCGATTAGTATCCAGATATCGGGTGAATTTGGGCAAACTACAGCAAGATAGACACGCGTCAGCCTCCCTGGCCTTAAGTCTCGCACGATCTGCCCTCTATTCCCTCCAGTTGTACCATTTTTCAATTCAGCGAAACATTAGCTAGCATTGATTGGGCACAGTTATGAAATTTATATATATTTAGAAGTATTATAAGATTACGAGTTCATTTATTTCCGATGGATGTTGTGAATTTTTTTATATAGTGACTGCTATTTTAGAAATGGGAGTTCCAGCATTTTTTCGTTGGCTGAGCAGAAAGTACCCATCCATTGTTGCCAACTGCGTCGAAGAAAAAGTATGCTTTTATTTGTAGATTTTATCGTCTACCTTTTTTTCGATAGAACAAAGGCGTAGACAAAGAGACTGTGCCAATCGACTGCACACAACCGAATCCCAATGGCATTGAATTCGATAATCTTTACTTGGATATGAACGGGATTATCCATCCTTGTTGTCATCCCGAGGACAAGTAATTATTTCTTAGTAAATGACTCAAATCTCATCAAATTTTTAGGCCAGCGCCTACAAATGAAGACGAAATGATGATAGCAATATTTGAATATATCGACCGGTTGTTTTCTATTATTCGTCCTCGAAGGCTATTGTACATGGCGATCGATGGAGTCGCACCAAAAGCGAAGATGAATCAGCAGCGTTCTCGTCGGTTCAGAGCTGCCAAGGAGAGCCAAGACAAAACTGAGGCGATCGCCAAGATTCGTGCTCAGCTTGAAGCACGTGGCATACCTTTGCCTCCTGAGAAGAAAGGGGAACATTTTGACTCGAACTGTATTACTCCGGTACGTATATCTCGAACATATCTATCTAAATGACTGTTAGCATCGTCTGATCTGTTTCTATTCTTATCCCGTTTGTATGCAGTGCATTATTTTAATACCTGCTTTTTAACTGTAAAATAATTTCGATTGTCTGTCTGAGAATGGACTCGAGCATGAAACAGTAAGTAAGGCGGGCTTGTAATCCAGTTTCAAGAAGTGCAGAACGTTTCACAGACAATTAAATATATGCTATGGACATAAAAAGCGAAGGTCGTTGCAGCACCAGTGATTTGTTCCTTTTATGGGTACTTAAAATTACTGAAAGCACCGCTAATCATGATTGAATTGCTGAACGGAAGAAAGGTATTTCATTTTACCAACCTTTCAACTTCTTGTGGAAGTTGAACTGCTCTTGAAGATGCATTTCTGTACCTTAATATGTGCAAAAGTTTTATTGCATTGCAGAATCATACAGGAAGTAGATGCTTTTGAAGAGTCACTGTAAATAAGCTCGGTATTATCGCAGCTATTAAAACGATTCGTGTGCTTTCGCATAAGAATGAAGCAACATGTAGTTTGCCATTTTGTGAATACCGATACAGAACATAGTTAAGGTATATTTATAACAACAGAATCCTAATGTCAGTTTCAAACAGTTCTGTGGCCCGGTAGGTGTTGCTGTGCAGTACACTAAATCACATCGTTTGCTCTTCTTCAAAACTTTTCACATTTCGCTACTATGCACACTGTTTTACAGGGTACACCGTTTATGTCGCGTCTGGCTGTGTGTCTCAAGTATTACATTCATGATCGAATGAACAATGATCCTTCGTGGAAGGGAATCGCTATCATATTGTCAGATGCAAATGTCCCTGGAGAAGGTGAACATAAGATAATGGACTTCATTCGCAGACAGAGGGCTTCTTCAACTCATGACCCAAACACGCACCACGTTTTGTGTGGAGCCGATGGTAGGACCTTGAACCGTACTTTCACTCTTGTGATCGCTTAAAACGATTTATTTTTCAGCTGATTTGATTATGCTTGGATTAGCCACACACGAGCCAAATTTTACTATAATTCGGGAGGAATTCATACCCCAGCAGCAGAGGCCGTGCGAATTATGTGGACAATATGGTATGTGTACTTGTCCATAGATAAATGTTCTTAGGTTCTTCATGCTACAAGTGTTTTAGGTCACGAAATGAAGGATTGCCAGGGTTTAGCAAGCTTGCCTACTGATGAAGTATGTTTTTTTTCTCCTCATAGTTAACTGTTACTTTTTAAAACCCGTCTTTGTGTAATAATGGCTGTGAGTATTTTAACTGAGAGGTGTTGAAACGTTGCTTCTAGATTGTGATTTTAAATAACTGTTTGGCATGCTCTGGGCATGACATCGTATTTATTAAAACTATCACATGATTATCTATCAATAATTCATTTTTTGGTAGTATGACGATTTGGCAAAGCCTTTCGAAAAGCAAACAAATTTCATTTTTATTCGCCTGTCGGTTCTGCGTGAATATCTAAAGCGTGATCTGGCGATGCCGAATTTGCCCTTTACGTATGACTTTGAGGTAATGTCATCAATTACCTGGTGCATAGTCACTAGGAGACATTTCTATTAAATCTATTTTTTTTATTTTCAGAGAGTTTTGGATGACTGGGTGTTTATGTGCTTTTTCGTAGGAAACGACTTTCTACCTCATCTTCCTTCACTGGAAATACGGTGACAATCTGTGATGTTTTTAAACTTTTCATGTTACATGTTTTATTTAGGGAGGGAGCTATCGATCGCCTAATCAAGCTTTACATGCAGTGTGTGTATAAAACTGGGGTAACGTTAGTCTTTTATTCGATAATTCTGGAAGGCACTGTTATGTTTTAGCGCTTTATTTTGAATAATTAGTAAATGTTTTTTCATTCTTGGGTATTTGTCTTATTTTGTTACTGCCCTAAACAATGTTGGAAAATTCTTGCTAAATTCATTAGCTAGATTTAGTTTGTTCACTTTGCAGGTGTCAGTGTTGTTAACCTTCAGTTTATCTTCTGTAAGTTATTTTTCTGCACTTCCAGTTATGTATTGCGCGATTGCTTCTTTTTGACTTTTGCGAAGATTTTTCATGTGCTAAGTAATTCGTTTTCTGCTCCTAAATGCAGAAGACATCGTTTGCTCTTTTTCACACCTTCACTGATAGGGCAGAAACGAAGCACTTTAATATGCTAAATGGTTGTGCTGATGCATTGAATGGAATATCATACTGATGCTTATGGCGCTGATACTTTTCTTCTTTGGTTTGACGTTATTTTTCAGGGTTATCTGACGAGCAGCGGGTCAGTGAATCTGAATCGTGTTCAAGTCATACTCTCTGGTAAAAGTCTTTTGAAAATTTCATGACGTGTTGAAATGCTTGCAATGTGCCTTTCAGAGCTAGGAGGAGTCGAAGACGAAATTTTTCGCACGCGGCAACACACCGAGGTAGGCTTGCTGGCACTTTACTCAGCATCTGATTTTAAAACTAAAAAAATATTGCATGTTAAAAGAGACGCTTGAGTCCCTAAATTATTCCACTTGGGAATAATAATTTAATGTTGGTATTAAATTGAAATGAGCATTTTTGACATTTGTCATAAAAGTCGTTTGCAGAGAACAGTGATGATTTCTCGATCATGACATGGCTTCCCGTGCCACGTTACGAAATTAAAATTGAGTAGGGCTTGATTTTTAATCGATGGATCTGTCTTTACATGCCGCGATTTCTTTATTATGGTTAATTATTTAGTTATTATTTGAACCTGAGCTTCAGATAGAATTTGTTGACAGTATTAAATTAGTTGTGGGATTGCTAAACTGAAAATTTCTTTGGTACTTTGCCAGTTACATGTGTTTTGTCATCAGGAACTTTAAATATTTTTTCAAGTCGGGGGCTGCGTAACATTTGTGGTGTCTGCTCATACAGCATTTTGTCTTATCATAGTATCAGTTGTTCACTGCGTCGACGAAAATGATTCCTCATCTGCGTTTAGTTTCTTTTGCTGTGCGATCTGCTTAACATCGCATCTTTGTGCTCTGTGTGTGGACTCCTGTGTTAGTTGCTGATGAGATAGCTTGGCTTGGTAGTTTCTTTGCTGATGATCAAATCATGCCATTCTTGTCTCCCTGAGCAGCTCCACTGTGTCTGTAAAAATAATTGGCCCCAAGACGTAGTTGTACAACTTCGTCGTTAGCAGTGCCTTCTGTTGAAGATTGTTCAAAATTTATTTTTTTAAAGTTCCATATTTTCCTGCCCGTACCACAAAATCGACTTTAATCCCTTTCTGGTCCAAATTTTCGAGATGTTCTTGAGGCCGAACGAATCGAGCAGAATTATTTTGTTTAAACCTTACCATAGTTATCATCGTTGGAAATGATGGGATATAGAGTGCCAGGCTTTTTCGATGACGTTGCTTCTGTAGCATAGTATCGGTTCTGTTGTATATCTGAATTCATTGCCTTTGTTTTCATGTGGTTCGGCTTTATGTTAATTTGTAACTTTTTTGCTCCTGAAACTCATGTACTTTTCTAGACATTATTGGTAGTAATTATGTGGAGATTGCAGAGGCGGTCGATGTAGCTGTTACACCGAATCTGTTTCAAGGAGGGGAAAACGTGGAAGAAATAATTGCAATTTTTGGTGCCGTGTCTTTTACATTTCTATGATGGAAGTCAATAAGGGAATCGTTCTTTAATGTTGAGTTAATTTTAGTGCATGAATGGAACTTTATGAAATTCTCTTTTTTTAATGATTGGACAAAATAGTTAATAAGGGTATTGCAGTAGAATATTATAAGCATAGGAACGGGGTAAATCGAAAAAACAATGGATGCGAATAGAGATGCAAATTGCTGCACTTCAGTCATCAACGTAGTTCCGCCTGCATCTGTTCCGCCTGTTGGAACCTTTTAGGACTCGGGTTAGGGGCTATAAACCCGTGGTCGATTGCGTTGATGCATAATGTTTACGAGATGTGACCTTGTGGATGAAATGTTCGGCATGCATCATTGCAGTTTCTCATACGTTTGGCGTCGTTTGTTGTCATGGATGTGAAAACTCATTGCAAAATCTTATGGATATATAATAACGAATAGACATATGTTTTCTTCCTATGCCTGCTCCTCTGTCTACGCCGGAGAGCTGAAAGCTAAATGATGGTCGGGATTTGAACCTATTCTATTTATAGGCAGAAAGAATGTTCGTCAAAAAGCAAATGAACTATATTTAACTGTTTGGTTACATTGCTTAAGTGAATAATGCTGCAAGTATAGAAAAAACTAATCGATAAAGTGCCATGAAACTGCGGTCGTGAAATTTGTAAATTGAATATTGAACACAAAATATTTATATCTAAACATCAGATTGTAGTTTTAAACAGGTTTCAATTAGAAAAAGAATAGCTGTAGAGTGCAACATGATCAATTTGTAATATTTCTTGGTCTTTTTTCAGCGATGTGTCTGTAGCTTCTCAAACAGCCGTTTACAGTACTAACAGTTGAATGAAACTCGAGATCAGTCAGCTTTTTAGAAATAGTCGAAACCAGACAAGCTACGTTTACCAGATTGCATTATTGCTTTGTCTGGGTTCTGAGGATGTAGTAAGACGTACTTCGACGTCTTGGACTCGCCCTTTCATCCATGAAACCTTTGTCGCGCGTTTTAAGTCTGACCGTCGCCTTCCTGGCGGCGCCCCATGGGTAGACCACGGGAACATGTGCGAAGCAGCTTACTCAGGCAGGCCCGCTGATTTCGGAACTGTTCAACGCCGCCATCGCCTAAAGCTCTTCTTTGTCGGCGTAACGGTCATAACGCTGACGTCATGCTTGTTCTTGTTGTTCATGCTTGCCGAACCGGAAAAACACAAACGCGAAACGATGCTGTATTGAGTATTAGAACGATGCCTACATTCTGGATCATACCTCATAGTTTCTTGTAAGGTAAATCTGATGATGAATTTCAGTTTTTGTCGAGGTTGTCTGCAACAATTGGTTCATTTAGAGTCAAGACTCTATTTAGCATATTGTATTTAATGAAATCGTATCTGCCTTGTCTTTATGCCACCAGCGCACGAGGAAATTCTTGTTTCATTCTTGTTTTTGTTCTGTTGTTTTTGATAGCAGATCTCAAATATTGAATTGGTTTTAGATGGAAAGAAAGAGAAAAGAAAAGATGAGGAAATTGCAAGTGAGAGGATATGGTGGTCCGTCTTACATACCTTCCAACGACTTCTCTCCGATGGTGTTCCTTCATTTTTTACTGATAATCAACTTATATGAAAACTTTAGCCCTTGAACCGTCAGCCCATGCCAATCGCAAATATCCGGAAAACGGCCTACGAAATGCGCACTTACAACGACAGGCGTGACGTCTCCAGCAGTTTTGTTGACGTGAGAGGCCAAGCAACATTTTCTACTAGTGTGCGCCTTCA